AGGTCAAGGGGTTATCTAAGTATGACAGTAGGACAAAAATCGAAGGATGTGATTATGTAATGGATACTAAGAGGGGAGCCTAGCAATTTGTTTTCATCCCTCTAAGAATGAATAAGATCTGGTGCGAGAAAATTAAAGTTGTTATAATGCAATGGATAAAATACAAACGCAAACAAGAGAATAGCCCGAATGCTAAAACATAAGTCAAAAGGAGTCAGAACTTAACAAACTTATGTGGTGTAAGGATTGTTAGTTGAATTCTTCTAAAATAAATACTCAGTCTCGAGACCTACTCACACCGAAAACAAGTAACGCCATCGATCGCAACGGCAAATATATGCTTACTTTATGGACAAGCCCAATATAAACGAGATTTGGGACCAAGTGGCACTCGTCGCTGTACGGTGGAGTGGTAACGCCGCTGAGATACTCACAACCCAGTATCCAATCCCATTGCCATATGCTAAGCCAAAACTGTAGTCCACCTTGAATAGAAAAACCTTTTTGGAAGCAGGGCAAAGTGAAACTCCTTGGCAGCATAATGCCTGCTCATATTATTGTGGCAAAACTCAACTATTGGTCTTCAGAACATCTTAAGCGACCTTAAGTGATTAAGTTATTATTCAAGAATTACTAATATTCTCGAATTACAATCACACCAAAAAGAACTGCTGAGATGGGTTTCAAATCTCCCAAAACTCATGATGGAACTTCGATTAAACTACTGTCATGGATGTTAGGAATGTGTAGAATATTGGAAGATAAATTAATACTGGCGTGCCTATCATTTCGTTTGAAAAGGCGGGTCGAAGGTAAGCCAGTATCAATATATTAAGGGAGTCATCGAAACCCAGCTTCTCCTTATATTGGAAGATAAAATCTTTATTGGGATGAAGTAAAGAGATTTGCCGCTGTTGGTTAACAAATACCAAAGTACGAAAATGCTTGGACAATATCATGGGGACTAGGAAGGTTATTTTGAGATATTCCTAATTATAGATTAAGTTGCTTGTTAGGGTATTTGGGAGACGTTGTGCTTCAAATGTAGTCTTCTCATATGAACATCCAATGAAAATAAAATAAAGCTACCCAAAGATGCAAATATAGCGGAATAGAAAGAGTTAATTCTACATCCTCCAGAAACTAGTTAATAGTAACGATCGATTCGTTACCGTCGCCTGCAAATTTGTAACGCAGTTCCGATCCAAGACAAAATGTCAAATAAAATATAGAAGAGGTCGAATCGTATAGTGTGTAAATCATAGATAATGACAGAAGAAATCTTCCCATGCAAGAGTATGAGCTGAGATAAAATAAGGCAATGTTGTTCCAATAGAAGAGTGATAGCAAATATAGCAAATATTAAAGTCGTAAACCAAGAAGCAACTTTCAGAATCGACTAGTGATTTATAGAGAATATGATGAGCATTCTTAAGAATAGAATCTAGGTGCAGAGTAGTTATCGAAAATAAAATGCTAAACAGATTAAGTGATGTTATTAGAAAGCCTTTAACATGTGAGACCCATATCTGTTATGTAGGTGTGAATGAGACTAAAATTCAACCCGGAGAGGTGACGAGCTATATAGACTTAAAGAAAGATAAAAAAATAAGTATGGAGCAAAAGAAAATATAGTAGGTAAAAAACAAGCATCAAATGGCATACCATATAAAAATGATCAGATACAGCAATTCATTGAAATCATCAACCCTTTAAACAAGCCGATATTTATCAATAAAAGCAATATTGTGCAATAATACGCCAGTCGGCGTATTATCAAAAAGTACAGTGGAAGTCGAAATATTATTATATGCCAGTCTAACGAGTTGTAAGGACGTGTCCGGCATTAGGAAATCGGGGTGATGATTAAAATAAGGTTGCTTAAAACTTAGTGACCGAGGATGGAGGTTACACTATGATGTAATTGTTTGGGGTAATCAGAGTTGGTTACGTATTTTTGAGTGCATATATGCCACACATACACACACACATAGACAGATATACTCATGCTTCAGACTGATATTACACGAAATAAAATAATCAATGTATTGGGTGAAGAGATTCGAAGGTCGGTTGACCATTTAGGGCTGAATAACTGTTGTAGATTGTCTGCTCTTTGAGCTTGTATATTTTTTAGCACTTGCTCTTCTTTTGAAGTTTTTTTGTTTTATAACTTTTTTTTGAAAGATATTCGCATTTAAACTACTCTGATCAGTGCCACTAGGTCTCATAGCCCTGTGACATTTTGGTCTTGATGGGTAAAATTATTTTGGTATCATAAATGCTCGCATGCGCATAATCTTAGATTATACAACCAAGCTATTGGTCCATCGAATATCGTATCAAATGAATGATTTTCCTCAAAAGCCTACTTATATTTCAAGTATAAGTGTGGGATGAGGAGTTTCGAGGTCGGTCTCACTAGAATAATATGGCGGATTCCTCTTGGTCAGCTATCCTTTGGCTTCACTGAAGTATCTTGGTTGACCCTATCCATCAGGCAATTTCCCTCAATTCCGGTGACGACGTGCTAATCTTTTGTCCGCTATATGACAGGGTATCATTATTGCAACTAATTCATGCTTATCTCTATATGCTGTATATATGGTCATGACGAACGAAAGCTTAGCGAAAACGAGGTTAAGCGAAAGTTTAAATTAATTAGCTGAAAATAATTCCAGGATTATCAAAATGCAAACACTTCAAAATTTAGCAAACAGATTACGTTCATTGTCCCGGCCACTGCTAAAAGCAAAGAGTAACTCTATCCAGTTGCCCAGGATTTAAAAGTAGGATAGTCCATCGAAATATAGAAAATATGAAGACCAAGATGGAATGGCCCGAGCTAGTCGCAGTACCGTTTCGATGTATATAAGTGGGTTGACTGAGTCTTTTGGCCAGGGAGACTACATTTGGTGCACTTTGTCTGAAGCCCTCTGCTATAGTAGTTATCATAAATACCAGCATCAGACAGTGGACTTGGTACATTCTCAGACGCTTCGCCAGTATTATCAGTGAGTTTTGCCATTCTCCGCACCAAGCCACCAACTCGTCAGAGACAAGTGAAATCAATTTCTCGACCAACGTCCTGCCAAAAACTGTTACAATACCACTCCTCTTTCTGTCTTGGCCCATCTATCTACTCTTCACCACCTTATCCAACTCCCGTCCTATCACTTGTCACTTGTTTACACTCCACTGGCTAAAATGTGCCATTTATTGGTAAATTTAGTGGCCTGATCAGACCTGCTATTCACCCCGACCCCCTCACTTTTGAACGGCTAATCCGACTCGGGCCGCCTATCCGGACTTCCCTCATGATCCCGTTCCATATCTTTCTGATTGACCGATTTTACTCGGTTCTAGTCCCAGTGTGCGTTTTACTCTAGGCGCTGTTTCTCAAGGCCCTAGAAACACGTACACTGCCGCCTCACCGAGCAGAGCGCCTAAGCTCAGATTCAAATGCTTGCAGATATCAGGCATTGTCTTCATGGGTGAAGTCAACAATTCCTTGAAGATAGGAAGACCAAAATGGTGTAACCTGTAGTATGGTCTTCTTTCGATTTATATAAGTGGGTTAATCTCGCTGTCGCAACTTGGTCTTATTGTCAGGGCGAAGTAGTAGAACTCACCTAGTCCGAAGTCGTCTGCCAAAGTAGCTGTTATGTGCCAGGTCCACTGATGCTGAGAATTATGACAACTACTATAGCAGACGACTTCGAACTAGGCAAAACGGGGACTATGAAAGAACAGTAAAGACGATGAAGGATTAACAAAATAAGATATGCCTACCCTTCTGAGAAGTAACTAAAAAACTACGGCCAATATTGAGGAAACGGAATATTCTGGATATCCGAGCTCCAAGAAATAAAATATAGAAAAACCCAGAAGCCAATGGAAATTGTTTGAAACATGCTACTTATCATACAAGCCTAAACCAAACCGAATGCTGAAAAAAGTATGTCCAAAACGTAAGTATGACGAAGATGTAATAATACAGACTTCATAGTAAGAGCAATTTTAGACATAAGATGCAAGATGAACAAAAGAGGACCATATCTTCTAAAAATATATGTCTAAGTAAGCAATAAAACCTAGTTATTATAAATAGTTGAAAAATAAATTGAGAAACTTGTTGGAATATGGATAGCAAATCTATAGAGAAATATACAGTTAAAATCTTACAGTTTCACATAGATCTCTATTCTCCGTGAGGCGATCAAGCTCCGCTGCGACGGCTTCTTGTGCACTATTTAACTCTTGAATACAAAGATGGGCCTTGTATAGCAGGATTTCTGAGCATCGCTTTATAGCCACATTAAAGCTGATCACATTGTGGCTTAAGGCAGCACCACCAACCTGGCTAGAACCAGCGCTACCGTTTTCTGGCATGGCATTGGTGTTCCCACATGGAGCTTCCTCTAGAGCCCTTGATCGAGAGGTACCCAAAAGAGTGTTAAGCATGATTGTTCTAGCATCAATCCCACTTTCATCTAAGACAATTGAGCTTCCAGCAGCAGCGACATCGCTCCCACCACATGGCTGAGTAGCGTGGCCACGCCCACGGCAATCCGCGCAGAATACTACGTCACAAGTCTCACAAAATAGTAGCTCCTGGCTTGGATGAAGTCTACATTTGGGTACCAAGTCCCGACGCTGGCTTGCAAGAAGATCAAGTAGTTGATTAACAATAAAGGCAGGAGGGAACGCGGTGGCACCATCTCTGGGTACAGTGATGCCAACACGACAGATTGGGCATCTAAAAGCATCTGATCGGACCTATAAAATTAGATAAAAAG